CTCTTGAGCACTCCCAGAGGTGGTGACTCCACCACCTCCCTGGGCAACTTATTCCAGTGCCTGACCACTCTTTCTGTGATGTTTTTTTCTAAAACCTAATCTGAATTTCCTCTGGTCCAATATAGGGCCGTTCCTTCTCATGCTTTCCCTTGAGACATGGCAGAAAAGACACACTCCTGCCTCCATTCAGGCAGTTGTGCAGAGCAATATGTAACTAAAGTAGTGGTACTGAATTTAGCATTTTTATTTCTTCCTATGAAGTCATCCTTTTTACTGTGCAATTTAAATTATATTTAAGGGGGAAAAAAGTGACTCCCATCCTGTATATTTTTATTAAGTGTTCAAACATGAGTAATTTTCTTGCAGATTTGTTTCTGGAATGTTTTTCAGAATGATATAATTTTTTGGCTTTATAAAGACTAAAGTTTTTTTAATTGGACGGTTGTTCTTTAATGTTTCTTTTTTTGTCTTTATAGCTAATTCCTTTTATCAATACTGTGCTTAAGGAGCCTAAGTTACAAAGTGGACCATTATTTTATCAAATAGCAGAAATGCTGAATTCTTGGGAAGCTAAAGCAGAGTGCTCCAGTCATGACGGCACAGATGAAGTTTTCCAGAAACTCTTGTCAGAATTTTGGGACCATCTTTTAAAAATGTGTATACTTCATGTTGATAGGTTGGATGCTGATGAGAAATCACTGTTTGCCATATCTGGTATGCTAGAAATTCTTCAGAATCCAAAGACAGCTACAAAACCAAACAACAGAAAATCTCTAAAAATCAGATTTGCAGATGAGGATGAATCTGAAAGGAACACAGAGAATCAAAAGCTCATGGAAGTGAGAACTGGTGACTCTGAAATTCAGGCTCACTTGCAGCAAACTTCACATCTAAGGAAAGAACCTCTAGAGAACTTGGTCTGCAACCTTGCTGAGCTGAGCATTGTCTATGTCAATGAACAGAAGTCAGAACAGCATTTGAAATTCCTCTCTGCCCTGCTCAACTCATTTTCCTCAAACAGAGTTTTCCAAGTACTTTTGGAGCAGGGAAATGATGAAAGTTCTGCTCAAGCTGAATCCCAAAATGAAATGAAAGCTCATAACCAAAGTCCATCTGTACAGTTTCTGTATATGAATTTAATAACTTGGCTGAAAGAAGACTGGAGGAAAGACACCCATTTCTTGGTTGATATTTTATACAGTGTACTTCATTGTTGCAACAGTAATGATGAAAGAAAAGTAATTCTTGATGATTTAGCAAAGGTATGAGTTGTCCATTATGTTGTTAATTTTTATCAGTCATTACTGTTTCTATGGGCTGTGTCATTAATAATCTTACTTTGGTACTGTCAAGAACAAGATACTCTGCATTAGTTTGGGTAAGATCAGCATAAGGAAGGTAGTTTTAGGAAAGCTTGACATGATAGTGTTGGGGTGAAAAGTTCTGTCCCTTTATATATAGTATAATTCATTTTAAAAAAAATAACATCAGAATTTCTCTGCTCTTGCTTCTTTATACAGTCTACTTTTATAGTAGTCATTGGTAGCCTTTCTTATAAATATAGTCTTTATTGATTTGTGTGCTAGAGAAAGATTTGGAAGACAAAAATGATAAAATCAATAACTTTGATAGTGAATTTTATCATCTTCTACATATCCCCTGCATAACAGATAAAATCGTGTTATTGCTTTCTAGTCAGCAAATATTTTGTTAAATATTAGGGAATTTTTTTTTTTTGTTTTCAGATGGATCTGAAATGGATTATTTTTCTCCAGATAATTCAAAAGGTATCTATTAAGATTTTTTTTTTGTTCTTGTTATGCATACTTTTAAATACTGTGCTGATATTAACTTTGAGACTCACATATAATTTCCATAGTTTGAAAATCTTAGAATAATAGTTTCAGAGTAGTGTTTGTTTTAAATACATTTAAATTCAGAGACAATTTTAAAACTGAAATGATGATGCCAAAACAAAATAATCCTTGTTCCTTCTATTTTTGGTCAGTTTGCATTTTGAGCCAGTGGGATTCCTGATTTGTTGATCATCCCTTTGGAGCTAGAGAGGATGGAGCTGGGGATTAGACCAGTAATTTAAATGATTATTTATATCATCATCCTTTCAAGGTGCTTACCTTGAAAGAAAGGGTAGTATTCCATTTTTTCACACTGAATTTTGAGAAACGGACATTTAAGTGATTGCGTGGGATGAAATAGGAAGTGTATGACAAATTTTTTGACAAGACCTCATAGCACTTGACTTACAATCCAGTGCATAGATCACAGGATCTTGCCTCACGTATGCTGTGTATTTTAGGAATACTCAGTTTTTATGAATTTGTAACTTTTATCACCAAAACAATGTTTTTATTTGTGACCCTCCATTTCTTCTTGAAGAAATTTAGGTGCTATAAACAGATTTTATTTCAGCCAACTTGGTCATCCAAAAGTTATTTTTCTGATTCCAGTGTAGGAATTCCCTGGGCTCTATATTTGGAAGAGAAAGGTAAAGGAAGCATTTTCAGGAGGTGACGTGTTTCACTCTACAGTGGAGAACTGACCCAGCCATAAGCTGCTGTCTCTGACAAAAAGAAAGTTGGGTGTGTTGTTTCAGACGTAAACAACTAAAGATTATTTGTGGCAGGTGATATAATTCTCGGTCCGTGTGTGCAAGTTTGACATTAATCTTTTGCTTAGTAGTAAAAGTTAAAATTAATATCAGGCTGTCCAGAGAAGCTGTGGCTGCCCCATCCCTRGAAGTGTTCAAGGCTAGGTTGGATGGGGCTTGGAGAAACGTGGTCTAGTGGAAGGTGTCCCTGCCCATGGCAGGGTAGTTGGTACTTAAATTGGAACTTGGAAGATGACCTTAATAGTATCTTCCAATGTTAATCATTCTATGATAATATACCCTGAAAAGATTCTTGTAATATTTTTGTCGTGATCCAGGCATGCTCAAGCACAGCAAAACTTTCCTTAATCTCTGACTGGCTGAAGGGAGACACGCTTGGAGAAAGACTGGTGATGCTGGCAGATGATCTGTGTCACCTGGGTTTGAAGCCTAGAGCAGCCTCATCAGAATCAGCCTCTTCAGAAAGGTGGACCCTCCTGAGCTTGGTGTTGTCGCAGCATGTTAAAAATGGTGAGCATTCCTCACCATTCCAGTGCTCCTTGGAGTTCGTGAAGTGCGCATGCTACACTTACGCTTTGCGTAAGGTTGAAAGGAATTTGGCATCTTCCAGAACACTTCATGCAGAGCATTTAGGCTTTCTTCTCATAGATTTTTGTTGATAGTTGTTTTTTGTTGGAGCTTTTGTTTCTTTGTTTTGGTCTTTTTTTTTATATTTGAGCCAATTTACTACATCGAGTTTGATTTTGTAAACACAAAGTTGCACCAGCAACTGCCATTTTTTTGGTCCACATTGATAAATAAAGGCAGTGTTTAAAGAGAAGATTCAGATTTACAAGTTTGGAAAATTTGAGGAAAATTTAAGTGAGCTTGATGTATTAGCTGATGTTCTGTAAAATAATTCAAATTTTTAAACCACACCTTCTGAAATTTACCTTAAAAACTAGAATACCAACTCAGTGGTTATGAACCCATGTATGTTTTAGTAATGCCTCGTTACAGGACCTCTAAACTGTTTTGAGCCATTTCCGTTTAGTTTCATGTCTTTAAAAAACTGCATGTATGCTCTTAAGCTGTATATGTAATCTGGGTTTTTTTTTTGTTTGTTTTTTTTATTAACAGCATCCTATTTAATTTATTTCTTGAATTTTTATTATCTAATATTGGCTTCCAGGGCAGTTCAACTTTCTTCATGTTTTCCATGTAAACTCAGCATTTGCTTTGATCCCTGAGGTGACATATTTCAGTGTCATTGGATGCTGTGCACCTTTGTGGTGCTTTCAAGTTTCAGAGATGCACACAGGCAGCTCACTGTAGTGGATGTTCTTAAATGGGGCACCCTGAATGTTTCCTAAGAATGTTTTTTCTGTTATTGGCACTTTTGATGTAAAGCATTAGGAAAACCTGTTTCCTCTCTCCACAGAAAGTTCAGCAAATGTGCTCGTGATCTAGGGCTGATTGTTCAGTGACTTTGCTTTTTGGCTCTAGAGCTGAAGGCACTCTGCACTCATTTTCTGCTGGGTGCGGGGTGAGCTGTTTTTAATCCATTTTGGATGAAGCCTAAGAGATTTTCAGGAGCTATGGTGGTTCTTGATTTAGTGATTTAGGCCAAAATAGATTATGTGAACTTTCAAAAAGATTTTTTTAATGAGACCCTATGTTTCTCAGGGTAAATTGTCATGGAGGAAATGGAAGAACCTTTCATGAATCGGTAGCCTATGATGATAGGAATTAAAGAAGAAAAAATAAAAATACTGAAAAAAAGATAATGGTTTCTGATAAATTATTCATTCATAGTAATCAGAACTGAAACTTCACAGACTCATAGGAGTGTGTTGCGAATGCTGAATGCTTAACTGATACAAAAGATAGCAAAGAATCCAAAGCCAGTTAGGGGTGGGTTTGTGCCAAAGAGCCATAAAATTATAATTTGTATAGGAAAAGCAAATAGGAAGAAATTTTTCATTGCTTCTTTCAACGGAAGAACCTGAGTTGCTAACAGATGTTTAGATAGCAGTCTTGAGAGAAAAGTACACTTTTTCATGCAGATTATAATTAAATAAGAAAACTCATTGTCACAGGATACTATGGAGTTTGAGGCTAAATGAAATTGACCTGCTTGAATCCTGTAAAAAAGGAACTAAGCATGTTCATGGAAGATTGATCTGCTTGGGTTAATTACATGCAATGGTCTGGTGTAAATTTGGGCTTGCAGTTTTGGGTTGCCAGAAGTTAGGAAGGCATGAAAGGTCTGCATCTGCACTTATTTATATACATTTCTCAAAGCTGCTTCAGCTGGTTTAGAGGAAGGGTACTTGGCAGTGTGAAACTTCAGCTGGTGTCTGTGAAATAAGAAAGTTTAGGTATCCATTAGACTGAAACTGTTTTGCATGTCATTTTGCATTCAAAATTAGTAAATATTGAACAAATTGGTCAATATTAATATGATGTCTTTGCATGATCATGTTTGTCAAGTAATCAAAGCATACTGTCTTTTTCCTCTGCCCAACAGAATCCTTGATTGGTGAAACTTTTGTTGAAAGGATTATTGATAAACTTCAGGCAGCCCTGTCTAAAGCAAAGGATCTTTCTGAAGCTGGAAATACTGAACCATCAGTATCTTTCATCTGTGATGTGGCCTCGAGCTTTTTCAGCTCAGTGAAAGGGTGTTTACTGATGCCATCCTCAGAAGACCTGCTCCTTACCATCTTCCAGCTGTGTGCTCAGAGGCAGGATGCAACACACCTGACAGGTAATCTGGAAAAAGAACTTCAACCAAGCTTTTTCATACGTGATGATTATATSTGAAAACTTCCTTTCCRTGAAACAGATTCARGTGTGTGATASAGYTCACATACATTGAACACTTGCAGCTGTAGCTGATATGAAAATTTGTGCTTTAATTTACAGTGCCTGTAGTTACTACTAAGCATCAAGTCCTATACATCTTTACAAGGATTTTGAAGCTTTTTTGATGTTAGTATCAGMTAACTTTGAGGCTGTGGTATTACACAGTTTTTGGAGTGTTACCAAAGTTATTTAAAGTCTATGGAATATATCAAATGAACATTTTTTTTTTCATTTTGCAATCTGGGAAGTCTACGAAGAAGTATGTGCAATCACTTCATTACAGATACATGTATTTATTCTGAAACCAGTTATACTGGCTATGTTGTCTAGACAAATTGTGTATCCATACCTGTCTCTACCAGTGTCTCATGTTCAGACTGAGATTCTGATTTATATTCTTTGAATGCATAATTTGAGAGTGATAAATTGGAACATGTGTTTACTGACATCAATAGAAATAAATACCATGCTTCAGTGTTGTCATAGAGGTGAAGTAGGACAGGACTAGCTTGGAAACCACTGCTGCTTTACAAATGACCATTGATGTTGCGATATTCAGTATTTTGGTAGAAAGGTCTGTGGTTTTGAAGACTGTGTGGACATATGGTTGCAGAAAACAGGAACATCACTCATTCTCCGTTAAATCTTACTCTGTGTGTCAGAGTTAATTTTAAATTGCTCTGCAATGAGAGTATGTGTTCTTGATAGTTTTTGCATGTAACCACATAGAAAAGAGATTTGCTTTCCTACTCTAGGACTTTTAGACATGTGATAGTTGCTGTATGCTGTAGGTTGTAATTAGAGTTTACCTGTTTATGATGGTTTTGCTTTGTCCATCTGTTGTTCTTTTGTTTTCTTTTTTCTTTTCCCTATAATAGATTTACTCATATGCAAATTAAAACACACTTGGGTGTCTGGTGTAAATTCGCTTGTACATCAGCTTCAGAGCACTCAGAAGCAGAGCACCTTTTTGCTTAAAGCTGCACTGTGGGTGAAGAACCAAGTTCAGTCTTCCTCTTTGGATGTTAAAAGGTAATTGGGATATGATGTGTCTGTTCCATAATAGGTTGCTTTCCAAAAGAAACCAGGATCAGTGCTGTACTAGTCTTTATTTAATTGACATCTGTATTACTGACTTTTCGGCCTGTTGGAGGCTGTGGGTAAAGTAGAACTTAAACCACCTCTGGTACAGCGTGCATGGAGCATTGTATCAATGGAAAATATGCAGGTGGCTCTTAATGGACAGTGCCAAACTTGTTTGCAGTGTTTTTGCCTTTTCTCAGTCTTCAGGTTTTGATCTCTGCAGTCAGTGATTTGTTGTTGACACTCATGGAAGCTGAAGGACAGTCTGGGTATCTTGTGAGAACTTATGTGGAGCATGTCACACCAAACAAAACTGAGTGGGGGAAATTGCACGAGTCTCTGTGCTCTGAGGTATGGAAATGATAATGGATTGCACAGGGTGGTCAATCTTTCCTCAAGCCTCTGTCCCCTAGGGTGGTAAACATTCTTTTGACATGGCACTGCACTTATGAATACCATATGTTTGTGAAGAGGTTTTTTCAGCCTCTGTCCATGAAGAGGATGAAACCTCTATGTTTATGGACCCATCCAGTACTAGTGGAAAAAATCAAAATCCCTGAAATTACCATTTTCTTCATGGAACACAGCAACTAGCTTTGCACTTCAGGAATTTTACCTGACAGTATATATTGTGAAGATGTTCTTATGTCTAAGTGAATTCTTCAAAAAGATTAATGTTGTGAAAGACACCAATATCTGCAGAGGAACATGATGTGCTGACTATCAACAAAATGCTGGTGTACACAGAATAGAGAGTGGCAAAGAACATAAATTAATTTCCTTTCCAGCCACTAATCTTCAGAAACCCCAGAATTTCTTGTAAAATACATGGGGTTCTAAAGAAATATATTTGTTTCCAGCAATACAGTTCCAAATTATGCTGTGCAATTAGTTTTTTCATGTACTGGAGTGGGTTATCCTCACCATTGTGCTTTTGATGTCAGTGTGTGATTTTTGTTCTTAATAATTCTGAGTTTTCAGGGTTAAACATCATAACTCTTCTATGCATCATTGAAATGCTCATTATTTGCTCATACTCTTTTTATGTGTGTATTACAGTGGATGCACAAGCCCCTTTTGGAAGGAAGGCTTAGTATGAATTGTGAACCTCTGGGATCAAGTGTCAAGCTGTGTGGCACAACTAAACTTCCAGGCCATCTGTGTACTTCAGCTGCATTAAGTAAAATGATACTACTTGAACTGGAAAATAGTGTAGTCCATGGAAATGATGATGTTGAAAGAAAGAAAATTGATAATATAAGTAAGTTACAATGGTAAAATTTAATAGAATTTCATTTTATAGTGGTTGTAACCTGCACTGAGCGTTAGAAATGCATAGTTAAAATTTGGCATACAGGTAGGAGAAATTATCCTTGAATCTTTTGTTGCTGTTTTTTCTTTTTGTTCAGGTCTCCTTTAAAAGTGTGCACAAGTGTAATGTTTGTATTCCTGGGAATATAAATTTCCTCTTTTGCTTATATATGTCCTATCTCAACAGAACTTTGAATTGGGAAAAGTGTGATTTTTCAGTGAACTTCAAATTTATTTATTGCCAAAACACACAGTGCATTGGCATGAGTGGGCAATAAGAACTGTATCCCTGCCTTGAATGTTCAGCCATAGTGTAAAGATAGTTTGAGACAACCATTTTTCTTAATTTGACGAGGTAGAATCTGGTTTTTTTTTTTTTTTTTTTTTTTAGAATGCTCAAATTAAATGCAGCATTTCCAAATTACCAAAATCTATCTCCAAAAGTTTCACCATGATGAGAAGTGTAATTGTTTAGTTGCATCTTTGTAAGCTAATGAAGGAAGGACATGCTAGCTCTTGTCACCAAATTTGCTTGGTTTTCTTCTGGACTTAAATATTGATTGCCTTATCTGCAAAAAAAAGGGGGAGAASAGAGAGGAGTCATGTCATGCTTWATTTGCTTTAAAATTGGCTATCTAGAATAGATTACTGTAGTGGTTTTTTTCTTGTATGTTATCATACAATGTCAAATTCCCAGTTCATGGTCGGAAGCACCTGAGACTGTGTGTAAAAATAATACCTTTAATGTATTAAAAACATACAAAAAAACCCTAACATAGCTTGACCTGAAATTTCTTGCTTTTGCATTGGATATTTTCAGCAGACACTTTTAAATAACAGCTTTTGGTTCATTAGTTGCAGAACTGTTRTACTCATTACAATGGATTGAAGAAYTKGASAATCCTCCTTRTCTGCTTCTGGAATATCTTCATATGTTGGAAGAGATGCACATCACATATGAGAAGTTCAGTACTCTGAGTAGTACAGCTAGCCTGCAGCAAACTTTATTTGACAGGTATGTGTGAACAAGTGAAACAGCTCTTAGCTCTGTCTTCACAGTTTGTATTGTATAAAGTACCACTATTTTCATCTGTGTATTGATTCAAAATGCATCCAAAGTGCTTTTGTAGTGAGCCCTGAGCACCTGTATATATTAACCAGGGTCTCTCTTCTTCTTTGAAGATCAGAGGAACATGGAAGACTCTGGTCCTTAACCATGGCCAAAGTGATCCGTGCTGAGAGTGCTGTATCCTGGGAAAGGAAAGAGCTTTTCAAGACAACAGAAGGGTATCTTAATATTGCTGCCTATAAACTTGCAGTTTGTTGTGAATGTTGAYAGTGTGAAATGATCTTCATTCTGMCMAATGRCAACTGAAAGCTGAAAATGAAGTGATACTCGTGTATGGCATGTAAAAGTTGAACTTGGTTTAGCATGAGGGATTAGTTGTGTCAGAGGATATGACATCGTTATGAACCAACTGATATTTTGTTTACAAGTTGAGTTTTTGTGTTCATTTCATTCTTGATGTTTTGCTTCTATGAATAGGTTCCTTCCATTAACAGAGGGCAGATTGCATACACTCCAGTGTTTATCACCTGTCTTAATTGAGGAAGAAAAGAGAGAACTTGTCTTCCATTGTGTGGCCAAACTTATGACATGCACACAGACCGAGCTTTCCAGCACTGATGGTGAGTATGTTCTTACCTCAGTCTAGTTCATTAGAATGTAAGAACATTATTTTGTAATAATGTTTGCTTTCAGATAAAACATATTCACTGTAATATTGCTTTTCCTAGAAAGAAATGTTTTCTTAGTTTGCCTGTTTCTTCTAGACTGTTTGGCATAGTAGTTTTCTGCCTCTTTCAGAAAGTACAAACTCTACTGCGAGGTACAAAATTAGAACTAAAAGATTTAGGCTGATATTATTAAAAAAAATTTTGATGTTGCTGCACTTCTAGTTGGATCTGTCTTATATAAGCACATCCATAAATATAAAAGTTTTCAGTGCACCATTTAGGCTTTATAGAGTACACAAAAATATTACTGTTGTTAGCTGGCGATAATTGTCTTTAGATGCTTTGCCAAGAACTCTTTCACAATTTGTATATAATTTTTGAGTAGCTCCTCCAATGCCAACTCAAAACTCCACGATGTTAACTGTCTGCAGCTGTGGAAGATTACTTAAGAGGTGATTAAGATGTGTTATAATATTGCTTTGAATATAACTTCTTAATTTGGGTCTCTATTTTCACAAGCTTGATGCTTTTCAAGAAAATTGTTTGAAAATGCTCACTCTTAGTCCTTCTACCTGTATTACTTAGATTTCATTTAAGAGGAAAAGTCCTTTCTGGTTTTGTCCCTTACTGCATTTGTGCGTTCTTGCACACACTCACTGATCAGTCTATATAAAAATTGAAATGTAGGTTTTGTATTTTTTAACAAAACTGTGCTGACTTAAATTGAAAAAAACCTTATCTTTGGTCACTTTAACTGTGGACATCGGTCCCTTGGCAGTGTTTTCAGGATTTCAGATGAGCTCTTCAAGTGGATGTTCTTCAGGTGTGGAAATTGTCAGTGTTAGTGTCATACAGCAATTGAGAGGAATCTTAAGAATCTTTCTACTGTGGTAGTTTCCTACTCTTTCAATTTAGTTGAGCCTTCCTGGCTTTCTCAGAGAACCAGTGAGGCAAACAAATGTGTCTGTGAGACTTTAAACAGAAGACAATGGAAGTATCCTCACTCCTCCCCCGCTGTGGAGGGTTTTTATTTGTAATCAGCATTTCCTTTCTACTAATTATCAGTTTTCTAGGAATTCCTGAGCAGAACATATATATTCAAATTCACATTAAGTGGGACACAGGTTATAGGCTTATCACTCCAATGGTCTCTTTCTTTTCCGATTGAGAAAATGGTGCTAAAGTTGTCTTAAGTGAAGCAGGAGTTGGTTTGGTTGGTTTGCTATGCTGTGTAATACTTTACGTTATTTCTTTGTCCTGGTGCTTGTAGGAAATGTTCCCTTTCTCCAAGAAAGCTAGATGAATGTAGTTCTTAAAAATGGAAAACAGTATTAATGCAACAATAATACTTCACTATGGAAATAAAAAATAACATTCCAACTAGAACTCCAATTAACATTCCAAAAATATTAGAATTCACAACTTTCCAATTGCAATGCCTTAGTTACCTGTCCAAATTACTACTTAGCATACTATATTTTTAGTAGCACAAAGATTTCAATCTTAGCTGGTATTTTTCCTTTTTGCTAATTTTATCAATTATCAATCTTAGAGGAGGTGCATTTTTTAAAAGATGTTTGTGTTGGATATAATATTTTTATTGAACAATGACATCTGTGGATTAAGTGTTAAAAGAAGAAAGCTTAGGTGTTAGCCAAACAGTCTTATGAGATTGAAGTTAAATTCTATTGACGCACATTCTAGTATTTGCTTTGTCTTGATAGTTAAGGCTATTGAGTATATTTTTCATTGTGTTATAGGAGCATTTGGGTGTCTTTCCATTTTGAACTCCTGCCTGAAGGACAGGAGTATTGATTGTGATCATCTATTACCTGCAATACTGAAAATCATAATATCTTGGAAAAACGATAATGAGGACAGCTTTCTCTTTAGCTGGTGGGTGCAACTTTGAGATGTTTTGACTTTTTTTTTTAATTTCTAAAACAAGAGTTTAAAAAAACAGACTAGTTATTAGTTCAAATAAAATCAATCTGTACAGCTGCTATCTACTGTTCTAATATTACGTATTTAAGCTTTTGTAGAACACTTGGTCTAATATATCTTTAATAACTCATACTGCGGAAAATTACCTGGATGATTGAAGACTGGGAAACTAATGAGCTTTTAGAATGCTTTTGAAAGATGTCAGATGTTTTGAAATGAATTCAGAACTGACCAACTTTTATAGGTATTGCTGGAATTCAGTTCCAAGTTCTGTTGCTTATTTTGACAGCAGGAGGAAACTTGCATACCAGACTTAGGCATCTGTCTTTTAAAATTCTGGTCCCAAAAAATTGGAAAGCTTACAACAAGGAGTACACTGAGATTTATTTGTCTTTGCTATAGTGAGAAAAATCCATACAACAAAGTGTCAAAATGATCATAAAACTGTGGAATGGTCTGGGTTGGAAGGTACCTTAAAACTCATTCAATTCCACCTCCTGCATGGGCAGGGACACCTTCCACTAGAACAAGTTGCTCCAAGCCTCATCCAACCTGGCCTTGAACACTTCTAGGAATGGAGCAGCCACAATTTCTCTGGATAACCTGTGCCAGGGCCTCACCTCCCTCACAGGGAAGAATTTCTTCCTAATAGTCTAAACCTATAATAGTCTAAATCTATAACCAATATTTGGACACTCGAGGGCTAATATTTTTTCTTGAGTTTGTACTTTAAAATGAGTTCGTACTTTAAAATCTTGCATTGATTGAATTAAAATTGCTAAATTTTATAGTTTATGTAAGTATTTTACTTGAATAAATATGTAAATTGTACAAATTTATGAATCTAATTTAGGAATCTCATTTAGCTTTGGCAGCTAATGTAGCACTCTTACCTTTGAAAGATAGAGTATCAAAAGCACATTGCACAGAGTGTGGTAGTGCCTGACAAATTTGTCCTCTGAGGAGGAATAAAGGCAAGAATACTAACAGTCATGTCTACAACATGAAACTATATAAGCTTTCTGGTAATTTTGTTACAGCAATCTGAAAGAAACAAGTGCTCAGTTGCTTGGTTTCAACATTGAGATGATGCGTTACCTTCCCTTGTTGCTGAAATATTCCACAGCTCCTTTGGCTGATGAYGAGTGGGACTTTTTGATGTGCTCCATGCTGGCTTGGTTAGAGGTAATATGGAAGCATCTTCACTTTYGATGTACTTACCTTTTTGATTATTTGCTGCATATGCTGTGATCCCAGCATACCAAATACTTGACAAAATGTATAAAAAAATTGCACAAAATCCTGTTTTATGTTGGACTTCGGACAAAGGTCAAATGTGTTTTAAAAGCACAAGCAATAATACTCTTCTGATTCTTTTT